AAATTGTCTATTGTTGGGATGGAAAATTTTTTTATTGCATACATTTTCTGATTAAAAATATTGAAATGTTCATTACTGTAAATAAGCCTTAAAATTTTTATAAGGTTATGATGTTTTCATTGCAAATATTAGTGGATTAGGATGCATTTGATCATATTACTGTAGTCTTTTCTCATCCTTTATTATAGGTTTTAAAATATCTTTAATATCAGGGATCTGATATTAAAATAATTTTAATTTATAATTACATTAAAATTAAACAATAAAAAATACGAATTTAACGCCTGTGAAAACATTTAATTTTATTTCACTTTTATTACCTATAGTGTTAGAATTTACTTTTAAAGAAAAAGTTATTTACATAGAAATATGCAAATACATATAAAAGTTTAGATGAAATAATTTCCTAGGAAAATGTCATTTATTTCATTTTGCCTGAGTAGACACAGAAAGTGGAAACAGACCAGTTAGAATGAGTTTACTTATGACAATTTTAATATGTCTATAAAAGTGATCTTACTGGTGTAAACTGTTCATTGTTCAATAAGATTTGATTAAAAAGTACAAGTAATTTCATTTCAGTTGCAGTAACTGAAGTCATAAAAAACACAGAAACTTTAAACTCCTGTTTTCAAAATGTAGTGGGTCTTTAAACAATGAATATTATATCTTATACAAAAAAATACCAAATATTTGAGTGTACCTTTCTCCTTTTGATTTTTGAGAATCTTAATTTATAATGAGCATATGATATAGAAATAGTAATAGAATACTGAATTATTTTGAAAAGTGAATGTTGTAAAGCATTGTGTTATACAAAACCATGATGCTAATGACTGCAAATACATTATGGGTATATGATGTTTTGGTTCATATACCTCTTCACATACAGTCTATCATTAATTAGAAGGCTTTCTTGACTCATGTTTGGTTAACAAAAGATATTTGGGACTCACAAAGGTGTTTGATGGTTACAATAAATGGTCTCTTGTTTCAGTTTTCTTATATATTAATATTCTTATATATTCATAAATAGTATTTTTGTAACAAACAATATGTAATATATAAAATGGCTGGTGTACATGTCTAGATGGATGGATGGATAGATGTGTATAGTGTCCTTATTGCATTTTTTCATCGAGGTTGTACAAAGATAGCTATTTAAAATCCTTGATTCAAGACAACGTTCTGTGTAACAAACACTTCAGTAATTGTAAATTTTAACCATTATGCCCTACTCATAAGTGTCTAGTAATCTATTTGTTGATGCCAAACCTTGTTTAATAAAATATTTGTAATTGTTCTTCTAGATCTGAAAGTTACAGTAGGTAAAACTTATAAATGAATTTTATTATTAGATCTATAGTAGTTGGAATAAAAGACAATAATTAGGAGTAAACCAACAGTACACCAAGAGAGAAAGCATTTTATGTATATATAATATATATGTATCATACATATCATATATATGTATGATACATATATTTGAAATTTGCCAAAATTTAATGGCTAGAGATCAAAAATCATATTATATTTACAGAATATTTACATTTCACCAAATTTTCATATACTTCCATCAAATATCTCATATAGTTCTTTAAGTTTCCATTATTTCTACTTCCAGTGCATTCCTGATAATAACTAAGTTTTCTGTAACAATTATGGAAATAGCTCTAAGTTTATATGACTGCTCATTGTAAGAAAATGGCTGCCCATCTTGTAAAAATGAATGAGTTTATTTTTTCAAGGTGTGATGTTAAAATTATGTGCTTTAATTTAAAAAACATGTCTTTCAACTTTAGACAGTTTCTTCAAAGGGGTTTTTGTTTGTAATAAGAAGTACTACTAGTTCTTTTTTTTAAAATTTGAGTACACTAAAATGGCAAGCTACATATTTATAGTGCATGAGTGATAACAGCCACATTTACCTTAATGTCATTATACAACTGTCTGATAATCATCCTCAGACATAAAATCTACACAAGACAACTTTAGAACATGTTGATCCTTAGGATTAACTGTTGTGATAAATTGTCTGATGAGTATGGAATATTGGTTTTTATTAATCTTTCACTGATAGCACAGCATATATTTTTTAGCTTAAGACATTCACTAATGAATCAATTTTAATTTAGGGACTTAATGAAATCCTCATTAAGCCTGACAAACAGTAGCCTCAAGTAAAAACAAAGCATTTTCACTGTAAATCAAAATGAGCTCTGCGTTAGATGGTCCTTACCCTGCCGGTAGCCTAGCAAGCATTCAGAGGTATAGATTATATCAGAGAATGAAATGTTTCTTAAAGAAAGTAACAGAAAAATCTAGCCCTGAGTTATTGTATTTCTGAGATAAATAAACAAGAACATAAAACACAGTACACTTTGTGATAATACTGTATACTTTGTGATAATACTGTATCCTATACACTCTGTGATAATACTGTAAGTGGAAAAAAACATTACTTTTCTATAGAACTATCTATCTATTGATAAATTAGTTAAACTAGAACGTTTCTGAATAAAATTTACCATAATAAAGCCTCTTTGAACTTAGTTATCTTTTTTAGAGTAAGAGTCAATTTTATTATATGTACATTTACCCATAATTAAATCTGCGTAGCCCGAATTTGTTTAGCTCAATTGCCACAAAAAATGTCTAGTTTATGTTGCTATTTTAGTAGTGGTATTTGATTATTCTTCTTTGGAGATTTAAAGTTATTTTAAATTATAGGATATTGGTATTTGTGAACTGCAGTCTGTGATGTTAGTGTCATTATTTGCCTAAACACAACATGAAAATCGATTCTTAAAAATGGTTTTACTTATGGGGTTGGTAATATTAGTATATTAATTGATATAAATTCAATTTTAAGGTTTATTGTTGAAACATGAACTTCTTATTAATTTTTAAAAATTCAGTTAAAGGTTTTAAACACCATATTTTCAGTGCCTTTAAAATAACCAGGGAATTTACTTTAACTTAGATCTATAGTAGTTGGAATAAAAGACAATAATTAGGAGTAAACCAACAGTACACCAAGAGAGAAAGCATTTTATGTATATATAATATATATGTATCATACATATCATATATATGTATGATACATATATTTGAAATTTGCCAAAATTTAATGGCTAGAGATCAAAAATCATATTATATTTACAGAATATTTACATTTCACAAAATTTTCATATACTTCCATCAAATATCTCATATAGTTCTTTAAGTTTCCATTATTTCTACTTCCAGTGCATTCCTGATAATAACTAAGTTTTCTGTAACAATTATGGAAATAGCTCTAAGTTTATATGACTGCTCATTGTAAGAAAATGGCTGCCCATCTTGTAAAAATGAATGAGTTTATTTTTTCAAGGTGTGATGTTAAAATTATGTGCTTTAATTTAAAAAACATGTCTTTCAACTTTAGACAGTTTCTTCAAAGGGGTTTTTGTTTGTAATAAGAAGTACTACTAGTTCTTTTTTTTAAAATTTGAGTACACTAAAATGGCAAGCTACATATTTATAGTGCATGAGTGATAACAGCCACATTTACCTTAATGTCATTATACAACTGTCTGATAATCATCCTCAGACATAAAATCTACACAAGACAACTTTAGAACATGTTGATCCTTAGGATTAACTGTTGTGATAAATTGTCTGATGAGTATGGAATATTGGTTTTTATTAATCTTTCACTGATAGCACAGCATATATTTTTTAGCTTAAGACATTCACTAATGAATCAATTTTAATTTAGGGACTTAATGAAATCCTCATTAAGCCTGACAAACAGTAGCCTCAAGTAAAAACAAAGCATTTTCACTGTAAATCAAAATGAGCTCTGCGTTAGATGGTCCTTACCCTGCCGGTAGCCTAGCAAGCATTCAGAGGTATAGATTATATCAGAGAATGAAATGTTTCTTAAAGAAAGTAACAGAAAAATCTAGCCCTGAGTTATTGTATTTCTGAGATAAATAAACAAGAACATAAAACACAGTACACTTTGTGATAATACTGTATACTTTGTGATAATACTGTATCCTATACACTCTGTGATAATACTGTAAGTGGAAAAAAACATTACTTTTCTATAGAACTATCTATCTATTGATAAATTAGTTAAACTAGAACGTTTCTGAATAAAATTTACCATAATAAAGCCTCTTTGAACTTAGTTATCTTTTTTAGAGTAAGAGTCAATTTTATTATATGTACATTTACCCATAATTAAATCTGCGTAGCCCGAATTTGTTTAGCTCAATTGCCACAAAAAATGTCTAGTTTATGTTGCTATTTTAGTAGTGGTATTTGATTATTCTTCTTTGGAGATTTAAAGTTATTTTAAATTATAGGATATTGGTATTTGTGAACTGCAGTCTGTGATGTTAGTGTCATTATTTGCCTAAACACAACATGAAAATCGATTCTTAAAAATGGTTTTACTTATGGGGTTAGTAATATTAGTATATTAATTGATATAAATTCAATTTTAAGGTTTATTGTTGAAACATGAACTTCTTATTAATTTTTAAAAATTCAGTTAAAGGTTTTAAACACCATATTTTCAGTGCCTTTAAAATAACCAGGGAATTTACTTTAACAAATTAATAAAACAAATAAAACTGTGTGGTTATATTAATTTTTTATAATGGGAGTTAGTTGTTTCTACCAAATAATTCTTTTTGCCTGTCTTCACATTGGCAGTATCCCTTGGACCAGTGTTGCTTAAGCAATTTTTAACTTCTAACTCAAAATTATTCTGTGTTCAATGAAATATGAAATTACTTAGTATAAGTAAACTGAATGAACTGACTTTTATGTCTGATTTTCTTTAAAATATACTACATATGTTCCTTAATAAGTCTAAAACCCTAAAGCAACTAAAACCTTATTTAAATCTGTGTAATAGGAGCCAAAATAAAATTAGTATTGGTTTTATTAATGATTTAACTTTGTATAAACTTACTATTTCTTCTCTTCTTGAATTTTTATTTTAGGTGCAATAACAGAACCCAGTGTGCAGTGGTGGCAGGTCCTGATGTTTTTCCAGACCCTTGCCCGGGAACATATAAATACCTTGAAGTGCAGTATGAATGTGTCCCTTACAGTATGTATATTCCTGTATTTTCCTTATATAAAGAAAATACATTAAGCTTTGTTTTGCATGCATTGACAGGATATTCTCTATAAAAGCACAGAAACAACACATAAATTAAATGGAAAAGAACTGGCTAATTTTAAGTTTTCAGGATTGTAAACCCTTCCCACCACTGGAAGAATTAGACATTGCCCATGTGATCCTGTAGCATTAAATTTTGGTTATACATTTCTGTATAATACCTGTTCTAAAACTCTCCTTAATGCAGGAGTATGAAATATATAAATTTTTCCGGAAAAAAATTGGAGTGGTATGCCAATACTGCATGCAAGTACAAGCAAAGGAAGTAAAAGTGAATAATATAGTTTATATAGTGGTATAGAAATCAATAAATTTTGACTTTCATAGAAGCAATTAATATCGAAGCTTCATATGCTGTCAATATTTTGAGGATTAGAAATACAATCATCCAGTGGGAACAGACTGAAAAATACAGGTTTATATGAAGTAAAGCACTCCAGAATGTAGCTTTTACAGCCTCCAGAAGGGTGTTTTGTACCCTTATGTCAGATATTGTATATGCCAAAAACATATTCTTCTTCAGGAATAATGAAGAATCAATCAAAAGTGAAACATTTTATTACTTTTCTACCCAAAGGAAGAGTCACCATCTCAAATAAAAGTATTTTCAGTCTGACTATTAATTATTCATGAGATTCCTTAGTGCGGATCACTGGGAAATCCTGTATCTCATGTTATATACTCAGTTCATCCCAGAAGTAGAAAACATCTGGAATCATAAACAAAATCCAGGTTCCAACTTCCTTTGACATCTCAGAAGTAAAGTGTCTGGGGATCAGCAAGGTCACTGTGCAAAGAGAGAGTTCTAGGCTTGCCTCATTTCTGCTGATTTCAGAAGCAACACATTACTCATGAGCCGTAAGTGTGCATTCTCCAATAATAGAGCATTTTGGCTGGCAAAAAAAAAATTGAATTGAGATTTAAAATTAATAATGAAGTAATCAAAAGAAAATTTTATCTTTGCTCTATATAGTATGATTGATTAGAGAAAGTTCAGTGAAGTTTTAAAAACTAATTTTCCTTTGTTATAAAGAAGCATACGTGATCTCAATTTAGGGTATGCTTCTGACATTGTTATCTCTAGGGACCCTTCTATGAAAATATTAAAGCCTCTACTGACTATTTATTGTTCATCAGAGATATTTTAAGGAAATAACATTTTTAGCCCGTTTTGGAACTGCAGTTATATTTGGATTGCATAATAAGAACTTTGTGAAATATGTAGAAGAGCTATTTCCAAGGGCATTTTATAAAAATATACAGTAAGGTGTTAAGACTGTTTTGGGAAACTTACAGTCATATTTTTGAAACATGAAAGTTGAAGTGGAAATGCCAAACTCTAGATTTTTTTCACAATTTTTGAATATTAAAGAATTTCACAGCTGTCTCTTCAATTTTCTGTATTTTATCAGAATTTCTTTGAGGATTGCTACTCCAAAATCCTGTGCCAAACTCTTTTCTGAAAACTCATCTACTTAAATCATTTCAATATAAATAAGAACTTGCACATATACTTTTGCATAAAAGGATTGTACCTTCCCATTGATTTCTGTTCTGTCATGAATTTTCAGAGATGGGCAATTTGATTCCTATATTTACAGGCTTCTGGCAATCTTGAAAATGCATTGATTCCTCAGGTTTCCCTTATTATATTCAAATATTTATCTAATTGTTATATTCAATAGGAATTATAAACTTAGGTACAATGTGCCTATTAATATACCAGTTTAATTTATATGGTTTAGTATGATTGTGTTGGTTTAAATTATCTTCCTCAGTATGTTTCAGTTAAAAGTATAATGCAAAATTGGAATTTATTTATTAAATTTAACATGATTTTAAAAGAAAATCCAGAAGAAAATATAAACCATACATTAGAGTATAATGACTTACTTGAAAGGTAGATTGCTTTGGTAGAAGAATGACCAGGGATCAGGAAGCCTGGGTTAAGAATATGGTCTGGTTACTTAACAAAACTACTTTAGTTTAGGTAAGCTGTTCAAATTTTCTGGATCTCACCTTATAGAATTACCCTTACTGTAATAAGTTGGAATTGAGATAAACACTAAATTGTTTTTCTTATCTCGAGCACAAAATTCACACACCATTCAAATGCTGTAAAGATTCACTTATTTAAAATTGCTGTCATTTATTGACACTACATATCATGTACTGCGTGGGTTAAATGTTTACATACATTATTTTATTTAATCGTCACAATATCCTGTCTGTTAAACAAGTGTCACCATTTTACTGATGAGGAAACTGAAGTTCAGTAAGTTAAGTTAGTTTCCTGGAAAATATAGAAGAGCTAAAAAATGGTAGAGCTAAGATTTGGGTGGGCCTCTAATACCTGTTCTTAAGGATGTCCTTATAATTCTCCCCCTAGGTTTTCCCCTTTATATTTTCATGATTTATTCAAGCTTGTTCAATATTTAAGTCTTGTAATTGTGATAGTACAGTAATAGCGCATGGTGAAAGCAAGTGTTTCAAGAGCCCAGACCCTTCCTTAATTATTTTGCTGCTTAACCTCGAAAACGTTTGTATTTCTTTCTTAGAGCAGCTGAATTGCTGTGAACTTTTATTTTCCCAAGTGCCTACTTAAGCTTTATGGCCAAAACTAGTTTGTGCTATAAAAATACCACCCACCATTTAGAATGAGGTGCTTATCTAAGTAGTAACTTCAGTTGTTTATATTACCTTTATTATAAGAGAAAATCCTTGTACTTAATGTTTGTTAAAAGATTCCTATTGTATTATTAAGAAGGAAAACATTCGAAATTAATATTAATTATTATTTAAAAAATTACTAATTGGACATTTGAATAAATGAATAATGTTAGGTTCTATGTGTTATTCAATTCAGTAGTATCTATTTTTGTTTTGAATTTAAGATGACAAACTTCAGTGTATATAGTGACATTAATAGTTATGAATGTTTTTTCTTAATACTGAAATGAAAAATATTGTTGATATTATCTTTATAAAAATTTTCTGCATGTGTTTCCATGGTAATAATGATTTTTAAGGTGATACATTTTCATGAAAAAGTATAGAAAAAATGAAAATATAGAAATATAAAAACATAGTAGGCAAGAAAACACTAATATTAATGATATATAAACATATTTCAAAATTTCAACAAAGTTATTTTATCATACAGGACCAGTAAAATTAAAATGTCTAAGATAACTTATAGTAACTTTTTGTATGGAGTTTTAAGAGTCAATAAATAGGTGCATATTGAACAATGACAGTTTTAGAAGAAACTTAGCCTGAATTAAACAAATTTTATGACATTTTAAAAACATGCCCATGAGGAAAATAAGAAAAATTACTAATTTTAAACAATTTAGGGCAACCACCTTGAGTGTCTTGTAGTCAGTGTCTCCAAATTGCTAAATTATATTTAATTTTTCCTAAGCCCGAACTTCTTCTCCCTTTCTGTTTTCTTGTTTGGGTTCACAGATGCCTTGCTTGTGTCCAAATTTGGGACAGGTGAATCAGTTCTTTTCTCTGTTCCTGTCACACCTTAGTTCCAGTGTGACTTTTACAGCTTTTGCATTTCCTTTTGAGGTTCGATTTTCTTCCTTAGTGATATTTCCCACCAGGAGGTGACCCAAATATTCCAGAGGCTAAACCTCAGTGTTTACTAAGTGCCCCATTTTTGCACTCCCGTCTTCCTTCTTCTGGTCCCACCCCTGCCCCCTTGGCCTGATTTGGGGTTGAAATTGTGCATTTTCAAGTGGAATTTCCATCAATTAGCCAGTTTACAGGGATAATTTGTGTTAGGAAGAAAGCAATAAAAACAACTAATCACCTACCCAGAGCATTTCTGAGCAAAGAACCTTGACTTTGTACCCTGCTGACAATTTGCCTTTCTTTCAAGGCATACAATTTTATGCACATAACACCCAAAGGGTACTTGTCTGCTCTCCCAACCCAACTTTTCTCCCAGTTCTCTGTTTCTTCCTTTCAGAAATCCAAAGCACATATTATTTATTCGAGCAACCTTCTCTCACGGTAGATTTTCTTAGGCAATGGGGAGAGGAATCACACAATTCAGAGAGCTACTAGAAATGATTAAACCAATCTTATGCTACAGCACTTACAGACTTTCTGCCATTCATATTAGCCATCTGAAGAGTTATTTGTGTGATTTTCTATGGAAAGACATGCAAAATGAGTACTATTGGAAAATTAATATTTATAAATAATATAATCTATTGCTTTTTTCTTTTCACTCTAAGAAAACTGCACTTTCAGCATTTAAAACAGACAAATGTCATTAAATATTTCTTTATAAATAACTATATTTTTGCAATTAATGTTCAAACAAGTGCATATTTTAATATATGCCTACTTTGGTTCCTATTTTATAAATAAATGATGTATTTTAAAACTCGTGCTGAAATCACCTCATGTGTTTAATTTTTAAAATATCACAGAAATGTCAAGGTATAATATGATTCCCAAAGCCTCAGTTCCTTTTCCAGTTTTTGACACATAGGAGACATCTAACAAATATGTATTGAATGATTGAAAGATAAAAGGAAATTTAATCAGAGTGGCTCCTCTAAAAGTATTATGTTCATTGCTAAAATGATAAATACAAGAAACTGTTGTCTAGAAATAAGACCTTATTAATTCAAAGGGAAGATCTATGGTAAAAATATTGATTATATGAATATTAGTTTCTCCCGATTGCTTGGTGGTTATTGTATCCCTCAAGAATTCTACTAGCAACCAATTTGTTTTTCATATTATTCTCCTCTATGCCTCCATATAACAAGTATTATCCCTTAAATATTACTCTTTCTGTAAGAGGACTGTCAGTTATCTAAATTCTCTTTTTTAGAATTACATTTATAACAGAGAAAATCTTTCTTTTATTCTTTTTCTCCCCAGCAATCTCTCTCCAAATAGCT